GACTCTTACACATGCAGATATACATTGGTGCTCTCGGTCCAGAGAGGATGTCACTATCATTGATCGTTGCGGGGAGTTTCCTAATGTTCCTTTACTTGGAATCAGAGGAGGTATTACTTACAACCCGTGTCTGGCTTGGAGACAGTTTGGTTATGCTCGGAGGGACGGCCCTCATGACATGTTAATTCCTGACATAGTTTTTGACTTCGATAACGATGCACAAGGATTTCGCCAGAGATTTATCAGAGCTTGGAGGATGCCCAGCAAGGTAGACAGCAAGACACTGGGGCACAGGAACTCCATCCCGTTGGAGCCTTATCTCAAGTGGGTACGAGCCCGCTCCCAGAAGCTAGTAATGCCATATCCTCAGGTTCTCCCTGTGATCAAAGAGCCAGTTTTGGAAGGTGAGGTGTCCTACACCATTCAACATCCTGATATGCCTACATCCTGGGAAGAAATGCATAAAAGTTGGATTCAGCTTAAGGAAGAGCGGAATTCTCTTGAAGCCAGTCTACATGCCAGTGAGAAGAAGGTCTTGGAGCTCACCCGCCTACTGCACGAGGAAAAGACTCTCAACACCTACATTGCTCCAAAGAGGATGCGCAGTGTCTTTTGGGATTGATTTATTTTGTAATATTTTGCCCATGAGGCCTTGATGTACTGAACAATTATTCCCTAATGATAACGTGTGTTCCTTTTTGTCTACAACAAATTTGAACTTTCGAACCCTTGAATGCATTGCATAAACATATATCATGCATCATGTGCATAACAGGTACTTGTCTTTTCAGGTTGCTTAATGTTCTTCGCTGTTTATTTCAGCATCATGAACCCTGAATCATCTACCGAGCAGTCCATCAAGGCCCTTCAGGCTCAGAACGCCCAATTCCAAGAGCTGATCATGAGTCTGGCCCAAGGTCAAGAGCAGTTGAAGGCTCTGCTGGTTAAGAAGAAGAAAAAGAAGAGAACTGTACTATTCAACACGGGTCGGAGGTTTGGTAATGCACTGCATAATGAAGTTGATCAAGCTGGTTCTTCTGTAGGGAAAGGCAGTCCCCAGGGGGGAAGGGTTCCTAGTCTGGTGGTCTCTGACAACGAGACTGATTTTAATGAGGAGCAGTATCCTCCAACTGAAGACAAATACAAGCAGTTAGAGGATCGTCTGAATGCCATGGAAATTCAACAAGTTCCTGGTTTGGATTTCGGAGACTTGGGTCTATCTTCTGGTGTGGTAATCCCACACAAGTTCAAAGCACCATCTTTCGCAAAGTATGACGGGGCGTCCTGCCCTAAGCTACATCTCAGATCTTATGTGCGGAAGATCCAACCATACACTGTGGACAAGAACTTATGGATCCATTTCTTCCAGGAGAGTCTTTCAGGGACTCATCTCGAATGGTTCTATCAGCTGGATGGAACCAAGGTTCGTAACTGGGAGGAATTGGCTACTGCTTTTTACAAGCAGTATCAGTATAATGCCGACCTCGCTCCTACACGTACCCAACTCCAGGGTATGTCGCTAGGATCGGGAGAAGGTTTTAAGGAGTATGCGCAGAAGTGGAGGGACCTGGCTGGCAGGGTGCAGCCACCATTAACCGACCGTGAATTAGTGGACATGTTCTTGGGGACCCTATCCGGGCCGTTCTTTAATCATCTCATTGGAAATTCGTCTGCAGGGTTTACAGATCTCATTCTGACTAGGGAAAGAATAGAAGCTCGCATGAAATCAGGGAAAATTCAGAAAGGTGCGTCCTCAAGTTCTGAGAAGAAGCCTTTCAAAAAGGAAGCCAGTGCTGTGTATGGGCCTAGAAGGCAAAATAAACCAGAACACCGCCAAGCTGTCATCGCGTTGGTAATTGCTAAGCCCGCTGCCGCTCCTCGACAACCTAACCAACCAAGGGGTGAGAGACCCAGAAGAGAATATGCTCGGCTTAGTATGACTTTGTCACAGATCTTGCCGCAACTGCTATCGACCAACTTGGTGTCTGTCAGAGAGGCTCCGAAGGTGGTAAACACAACCTCTCCGAAGTATAATCCAAACGCCCGCTGTGCTTATCACTCTGATAGCCCGGGGCATTCTACTGATGATTGCTGGGCCCTGAGAAATAAGGTTCAAGACCTTATTGATGCTAAAGAGGTTCAATTCGAGGCGCCCGAGAAGCCTAATGTGGTGACAGCTCCCCTACCTGACCATGGAGTGAATGCTATCAGGGATGGTGACGAAGTGGATGAGTCTGAATTCAATAGCCGGATCTACCCGACAACCGACGATGGACAGAACAATTGGACTGCTAAAGACCACATACTTGTTACTTTTGTTACGCAGTAATGAATTCCTTTGTTTTTAATTTGTAATAAACAATAAATTGAAACTTTATGGCCCGGTGTCTTACCCGGGGCACCGTGGCTTCATTTGTGAGGGCTTATTACTTATCATTTCCATATATCATGAATAAAAACATTAGACGTTTTTCGCATTTCAAATCTTGTGCTCCCTTTCTTTCTTTCTTTATATATTACAAAACAACTATATTTACACACACTCACCCATACAGGTTTCAATCCACTCTGGATCCCACTGGTAACGACTCTGCTACTGCCAGTTATGACTTCGAAAATCCGATCAACTTAGCCGAAGACGAAGGTGAAGATGATTGTGAAGTGCCTGGTGAACTTGCAAGACTGTTACTCCAGGAAGAGAGGGCCATTCAGCCACATGAAGAGCCAGTGGAAACGGTAAATTTGGGTACGAAGACAGACAAAAGGGAAGTTAAGATTGGTGCCAATCTAGAGCTCAGCGTGAAACAACGGTTGGTTCAGATGTTGCATGATTATGTGGAGATCTTCTCCTGGTCTTACGAAGACATGCCTGGGTTGGATACCGACATTGTGGTCCATCACCTGCCTACCAAGGAAGAATGCCCTCCGGTTAAACAAAAGGTCCGCCGTATGCGTCCAGAGATGTCCGAGAAGATCAAAGCTGAGGTTATGAAGCAATTCGATGTCGGGTTTCTAGCAGTGACTTCTTACCCTCAGTGGGTTGCCAACGTGGTTCCAGTGCCAAAGAAAGATGGTAAGGTCAGAATGTGTGTCGATTACAGGGATTTGAACAGGGCAAGCCCCAAGGATGATTTCCCTCTACCTCACATCGACGTTCTGGTTGACAATACGGCTCAGCACAAGGTGTTCTCCTTCATGGATGGTTTTTCAGGTTATAATCAGATCAAGATGGCTCCTGAAGATATGGAAAAGACTACCTTTGTTACTCAGTGGGGCACCTTCTGCTACAAGGTCATGCCATTCGGGTTGAAAAATGTTGGGGCAACCTACCAACGTGCCATGGTTGCTTTATTTCATGACATGATCCACCATGAGATTGAAGTGTATGTCGACGATATGATTGCAAGGTCCCAAACTGAGGAGGAACACCTTGACCATCTGCAAAAGTTGTTTGACCGACTGGAGTTATACAAGCTGAGGTTGAATCCAAATAAGTGCACATTTGGGGTAAGATCTGGAAAGTTGCTAGGCTTCGTCGTAAGTGACAAAGGTATTCAAGTGGACCCTGCCAAGGTTAAAGCCATACAATAGATGCCAGTTCCCAAGACAGAGAAAGAAGTCAGAGGCTGTAGCGGTGAAAATCGGAGATCAAGCTATTAATTAACTTGACTCACAAAAAGCAAGAGTCGCCACCGCGCTTTATTATTTCCAAGGGAAAAGGGAAAAGAGCGAAATAAAACCCTAAAGTATGCAATGTAAATTAATATTTAAAAGTAATGAAAATACAATGTGTTTTTAAAAGAGATCGAGAGTTCGGGGGTTGGTTATACAATGGGAAGGTATTAGCACCCAATGCATCTGCGGTACTCCGCAGGAACGTTTTGAAATATCTGTTTTTTGGTTAAAATTGTTTGTTTGATTAAAATGGTTCGTTTGGCTAAAAATAGGTGTTGGCGAGATTTTGAAGATGTGATAACCTAATGTCGAAGTTTTGACTTAAAAGGTATGAGTTTGAAAATGGAGTCTTTTGGGAAAATTATCTTAAGTTTGGAAAAAGTGGTAAATAAGCAAAACATGAATGAGGCTATTCGCACGATTGTAGAAGACGTATTTGATGACATAAAGTCAGCTGAGCTGAAACATTTCCCTTGGAATTAATCATAAGTGGGTAGATCTAATATTCGAGTAAGAAATCATAAATAATTAAAATCCACGAGAAACGAACAAGGTAGATAACAAGATAGATTATAAGAAACTAAATAAATGGACAAAGAAGAATCATGAATAAAAGAAAAGTGTGATTAAAAAATTATCTAAACTAATTTGATATTCTAAGGTTACTAAGTAAACTAAACCTAAATTCTAAAGTGTCTAATTAAATTAAATTAAATTTTGAAGTTATTAACTAAAACTAAATTAAAATTCTAAAGTTACTAACTAAAATTCGAAATTTATTAAATTAAATCTAAAATAAATTAACACTCTAATATTACTGAATTAGGTCTAAACTAAATTAATTCTAAAGTTGCTAAATTACATCTAAACTAGTTTAAGTATAAACTAAATTCATTATAAAATTACTAAGTTAATCTAAACTATATTAATTACCAACTTAAATTAATTCTAAATTAAAGATTAAAATTCTAAGATTAAATTAAAATTCTAAAGTTATTAATTATGATTCTAAATATTTTAAAGTTATAAAATACATCTAAGCTAATTAAAAAATATAAATTAATACTAAACTAAATCTAAATATAAGATTTACTAATATTTTTTATATTATTTTTTGTTGAAAGCCCCAAAAAAATAGATAAAATAAATAAACTACTATGAACTAAATTAAATTATAAAATTAGGAAGACCTAAAAAGGGTGTAATTAAGAATCATGGGGGAGTGTATTGAATAATTTGATCCAAACCTGATGAGAAAACCAAACGCAAGAACAAATCTCATTCTCCCAATAGCCCAAACTCTTCCTTCTCCTTTCCTTTCACTCTCACAATAGATCTGTATTTGTTTCGGCATCGACAGCAGAAATTTGAGGACCCGGCGGTGACTGTGAAGTCGAAATCGATGGTTTATCAGATGGAGTGAACTTGCTTCCAGCACTATTAATTATTACATCCAGTAAATTTAGCAGCTGCTCAAGATGGGCTATGCTCCTCAAATAAAGTGGTTGGTTCAAAAGACCCAAAAGCACTGCAGTAGAGATGTAACCTTCATTACTTTCACCTATATTGACTTCATCTTCAACAACCATCACAGCTTTTCCACATGCATCACTAGCATTACTTTGTTCTTTAATCTCAGGATAAGGAAGCCTAGAATTTCTCTGACAGCCATATAATCTATACAGTGGCTCAACGGCACCAAAAGAACTGACAGGCTTTATCACATCAAGCATTAGCAAGTCCATCAGAATTTTCACCAAAGATATTCTTATTTCACTATGAGCACAAAGATTTAAAAGAAGCCTCTGCAGTTGGCCTTTATAGAGTGGCTGCACCATGCGAAATAACCAAACCATGCCATGCAAGGCTTCCGTGTCAACTAGTGGAGCTCCATCAGCTTCAACAACCCTAGCTCCACTGGACCGGCGTGAAGAAATTGGTTCCCCTACTGCACCTAAGCCAGAACCAGTGCCATCACCATGTCTTGAAGTCTCACCTCTACGACTTCTTGGATACATACCAAAGAGGGTACGACTGTAACGGTGTGCATACCTCTCCCGCAACATATTTGCCTCAGCAACAAGAGCAGGTGTAAGATTGGCAAGGATATTATCAGATGAAGTTAACAGAACCTCTTCTCGTAAATCTGAAGGAAATGTTGCAATTATTGAGACTGTATCCATTTCAACAGGTTGACCTTCCAACTCCTGAGACTGATTTGACCTCTGAGCTTGCTGTTGAGCTAGAACTTCTGCTCGAATATCTGGAGGGAGGGCAGCAAGGAACTCTGGATCAATATCCCCAGAATTCTGAGACTCGACATTTGGTGGCTGAGCCACTTGACCTTGCTGAGCTGAGAGGACTTCAGCACGCAGTTCCTCAGGAAGAGCATCTAGAAAAGCTGGATCAATTGCTCCAGATCCAGCATCACTATTCACTTGCTGCTTTGCTGCTGGACTTCTTCTCCTCTTTTTTGGTGCCATTTCTCTGTTCTTGATGACACCCACTCGGCCTCTGTTTCTTCCTCCGGTAACCATGACAGCATTCCCCACATCAAACTTGATAAAATCAGTGATCTTGTTGTTTTCAAAGTCAAGTTTGATGGTGTCATTGGCCTTAATTAGTGGATATCAGAAATACCGAGCATTGTACAGAGTTTTACAACTAGAAATGCTGTTAACAATGTCTAGAAAACTGAAAAGAAAACACCATGCAAATTCTTTACTACTTTTACTGATCACCAGGAATTGACTTAATGATGTCGGAATCACCAGGATCAACAATGCTGAGGCAGCACACTCTGTAGTACTTTCCACATGCAGTGCCCAAGTCAACATTGTTTCCATTGTAATGATGAACTCCAACCTTAGCCAACATAGCATAGTATTCAATTTCAGATTTCCTCAAAGGAGGACAGTTGTTGGCAATGATAATCAACTTCCCTTTGGAACTCCTTAGGGACTTGAGAACGGTTTTGTACCCTAGGGTATATTTGCCACTCTTCATGACAAGAGCGAGCCTGTTGTTGATGCTCTCATGAGTCTTCTTGGTCTTCTTGGCCGCAACCATTGTCGATGGATTGGGTGGCGATTTACAGACAAGGTGCGGCTGCAGAGATGAAAATGGATGCACTGCCACTACTTTTGTATTGTTATTTGTTTTTTTTTGTGTTAGTGCAGAGAGTTTTTGGTGTTTTTGTTGTGAGAGATGTTGGTTGTGTGTGATATTGAGAATATAGGGACTTTTGGTTACTGTAAGTAGAAAAGGGGAATAAAGGGGGAAAGGGTAAAAAGTGATATTGTTTTTGGCAATTTTGTATCAATCCTCAATTTCATCCAACAACCAATAGGAATAGAGTGTAGCATAAATAATATATTTTGTGATCAAATAGTCCTTAAATGCCTAAAATAAAATAAAAACCTGAAATTATAAAAAAATAACTCAATTTAAAATGATTTTTTTGAATATTTTATGAATAAAAAATAAAGACCCAAAATGACCGAAAAATGATAAAAAACGGATGCAAAATTATCCGAAAAATAAAATGAACACATTAAAATAATCTACATGTCACAAAGATTAAAGGAAAAAATGTTCAAGAAGTCAAAAATCAAAAATAAAATAATAATAAAAATATCAGACTAAACAGACGTTTAAGGTTAAAAACGAGACTTCGAACTGTACCGAAAAAAATAAAGCGAGCATACCGTCATAATCTACGCGAAGCGCAAATTCATAAAATGATCGGTAAAAGGTGAAAACTTGAAATACTTTCTCGCTAGTTTCCCGCATAGTGTCGAATCGCTTTTAACAGTTTGTCTATAAAACCGAAATATTTTATTATCGACATATAAACAACTTGGAGCAGTGCAAGAAAAATAGTAAACGGATAAAAATGAATGAAATGTCGGGTATTTTACAACTGAAAGACGATGCAAACTTTGATTTAAACTGACTTTTTTCTGGTCAACTTAAATACGACTAATGATGCAAAAATGTGATAAATGAAGATATTTACTAATGATTGTGACCAAATGACAAAATATGGTATGAATGTGCGACTAAAACATATTAGAGGAGAAATTTAGGGTGCAACAGTTGTGCCTTGATGAATCAGTCTTCGAGAATCCACAATCAACCGTACTTCGGGCTTGGGAGACTCAAAACTTTAATTGAGGCGCGACACCTGATGCTCTTGATTCAGACCTGTCTCTACACATGAAACAAAAGAAAACATGAACATACACCTTTGTATGCGATTAGAAATTAGTGATACATAGGCTAAAAATGTTCAAAACACTTGACAATCTTCACATAGTCAAAGCTCGAAAGTGAGAGGTTAAAACCGACCGTATTTAGTTACCTTGACTTATCTTAAAAAATGCAAAAATAAAAATGGGATCTTAGGTCAAAAATTGGGGTACAACAGCTGCCCCTATTTAAGTTTCTTCTATTTGGAGATATGAAGATTGAGATCTTCATTTCGACGAGATTGAAGGGACTTAAATATAGAATACACAATTTTTGGCCTTAAGATACCGCGATTATGTTTACGATATGATATGAATGTAATGCTCTGAATTTTATGGGGAATGACGCCATACGAGACAGACTATGCTGGAGAAACCAAGCACATTACACAGTAATCCTACAGAGGAAGAGGTTGTAACTCCGTTGGGGAAACAAAGTCATAGACTTCAAATGAGAGACTCTTGAATGATTTACATCAGTGTTGAGACTGGAAAAGGTAATGATTTACATCAGTACTGTGACTGGAAAAGCATACGATTGACATAAGTACTGTGACTGGAAAACAAAATGATTGACATCAGCACTGTGGTTGGAAAACAAAATGATTGACATCAGTACTGTGACTGGAGATAAACATCTTTGATTTCTGAATTTTACCAAGAACGGTAATACATTTCTTCTTTAACCAAGATATCGCTTGAAAAGGATAAAATAACAAACTTCCCCACGGGACTTTTCCGAAAGGGATGCCATTTGCTGAGTAGACATTATTGTTGGGGATATACAAGCTGCTCAAATAAAGAGGCCGCCACTTGCTACTTATAACCCACAAGCTGCTCATGAAGAGCTGCCACTTGCTGTCTTCAAAGAATATCAAAGCACACAAGCTACTCATGAAGAGTCTGCCACTTGTTGCCAATAACCCACAAGCTGTTCATGAAGAGCTGCCACTTGCCATCTTCAAAGAATATTAAAGCACACAAGCTGCTCATGAAGAGTCCGCCACTTGTTTCCAAAAACCCACAAGCTGCTCATAAAGAAGCTGCCGCTTGTCGTCTTCAAAGAATATTAAAGCACACAAGCTGCTCATGAAGAGTCCGCCACTTGTTGCCAAAAACCCACAAGCTGCTCATAAAGAAGCTGCCGCTTGCCGTCTTCAAAGAATTTTAAAGCACACAAGCTGCTCATGAAGAGTCCGCCACTTGTTGCCAATAACCCACAAGCTGCTCATAAAGAAGCTGCCACTTGCCGTCTTCCAAAAATACTAACGTACAAGCTGCCCATGAAGAAGCTGCCACTTGCCGTCTTCCAAAAATACTAACGTACAAGCTGCCCATGAAGAAGCTGCCACTTGCCATTTTCCGTACAAGCTGCTCATGAAGAAACCGCCACTTGCCGTTTTCCGTACAAGCTGCTCATGAAGAGACCGCCACTTGCCGTTTTCAAAAAAGTGTTGATAACATACAAGTTATCCATGAAGAGATTGCCGCTTGCTGTTTTTAGAAGTGTTGATAACATACAAGTTGTCCATGAAGGGACTGCCGCTTGCTGTTTTCTCAAAGATACCCATAAAATATCATGAAGATATTGCTGGAGGTGAGAATCAATAATCTCATCGAGGATGGAAAAACTGCTCATGAAGAGACCGCCATTTGTCATAGAGAAATCAGAAATAATCAAACTGCTCAAATAAAGAGTCAGTCGCTTGTTGTCATGTCGATATTCCAGAAGAAGGTTGTGATAACACTGCTGGGGAATAAAGTTCATCTTCAATGGGGAACCATGAATAAATCCTTCTTGAGGAGACCAAGTATTTACGTTGCAAAATAAATGCACTCTCCATCTAGGTTTCACAGCCTAGAGAGATCCACAGGGTATCGTTCACAAGAGACAAAGCTCAATCCAGGAATAAACTGGAGAGAAAATAGTCAAACAAGACTCCACCCAATGAGGAAACAACTCAAATGGGGATTTATCCTATCCAGAGATGGAAAAGGAAAGCTAAAGCAAGATTCTTCCACGAGAGTTAACTCAGTGGGGAATTAGAAAAAGAGGCGCACTTTCTGCTTAAGTTGACACTCTATTTGGAAAGATCAAATACGCTATTTGAATAGACATAACCAAGGTATACGTACTCAATGACATCAACAAATACAACTGTGCATGCATGATGCAAGTGTGAATGAATAAATGAATGTCATGTATATGCTGACAAAACAGACAGGGGAGATAGACAGAAGATGATAAGACATCCCAGTACAACCCTACACTCGGCTAATCTCAACAAGATGGTAACATTACTGGAGATAGAAAACAAAAGCCATCATTGGAGAAAAGTCCTTTTACAAGGCTTAAATCTCTATGGAGGGAAAGATATTTTCAGGTAGAAAACCCAAAGTCCAGTCTTCTATTGCAAACAATCCATTGAAAGGATAACAACACGAACAAAGTTTCAGCTGGAAAGAAGTCTTGCTTAGCTGGAGATACTGGGAACACCACCCTCCGATAATGTGTGCAAAACATATCACATATCTTGACAAATCTGGATTGCCCCTGGGACTAATTTTGGATGCCCCAAGTCTATTGCTGATAAGCTGCGTGATGCACGACAATTCTTGCGAATAGCTTCACTTCTAACATGCCCTGAGCTATATGGTTGATGAGAAGAAATCGTCTCAAGAGGATTTTACAAAAGACCTGGCATTCACCATGCTCTGGTGTCTTCAAACTCTTAGAGAGATTCGTCAAATCTCGACGTGATTGCCCCGGATTGACTGTAGTTGGCACAACGAAGTCTTCAAATTTTTGCCCCAAAAGAGTAAACAAGTTGGGAAAACATTAACTGGGAGAAGCAACATGTTCGTGCTTACGGTCTTCAGGTGACATGCCCCTGGATATGATTTTTTCTTGACGTGATCCGCCAATTACTCAACATAGTTTCAGGCCTTAAAAGAATAAACTCATCACTGGTGCTTATGTGAGCTTCCTTGATATCAAACAAATGTTTTGCAGTTAGAAAAAGTTTACAATGAGAATGAAAATTCTAATGCAACAGTTATGTAAGTCTTGAAGATTTTGAAAAGATATCGCACAAATTTTGCGAGTTAGAGCACCACTTATTTTTGTATAGGAAAAACATATGATACCAACATAACTATTTAGAACATTCATGGGAGTCAGGAACACTATCTCATTGAAGTATGCTTTCAAAATAACCTTGCTTCAATTAGGACTTTTGAAGGTTGTAACGTGGTCTGGTTCATGGTTTTTAGAAAAAATATTTTAA